TTTTTTTTTCTTTCAAACTTTAATTCCTTTCCTTTCTCAAGAATTAAGACTACAAGATAAACCCCAAATTGTCTCCTTTACAGTTATGAAAACACAAAAATTTTCAGTTAGAATAAATGGAAATGATGTATTATTCCCACTTTTATAAATTTTTTTAAAAATTACAATTCTAACAGTCTTGACCTGACACTATGTAATGAAAATTTTAATCTCAAGAAAACTGATTCAAAACATGTCACAAAAATATGACAATATATACATATCTATTGTATAGAATGTACATTATCATACATTCTCCCCTACTATATGAAAAAGACCATGAATCTTATTATAAGCTGATAATGAAGTTTAAGCATTAAAGCGTGGACTGACTAATTCTGATCACATGCCTAAACCTGCCTGGCCCCAGTGAAAGTTATGAGGTGGGGAGAGTGAAATCATCTGCTTCTATCAGATTTCACGTGAAGAGAAAATTTTGCTTAGCAAAGTATCGCTTTGCTATATTCTGCTAGTGTTTTTTTAAGGACATTTGAGTAATTTCACACCATTTATAAAGCAAAAAATTAAATCTTGCTGGACTGAATGCATACCAAAATACAAAATTAATACTAATACAATGATTCACAAATATATCGAACACTATACACCAGAGGAGCAGAAAAAAGATGGCCCACTACGTAACATTTAAAAAAACCCCCAAACATAGTTCTACTGCTCCTTACCACAATATTCACATTCTAAGTCTCCATAAACCTTCCTTATCCTCTCACACAACTCTGTGTTCATTTGTCTCTTCTGCAAGCTGTCCAAGATCTGCATGAAGGCTACAGCTCCACTCCCACCGTCAGATGCAACTGAATTGGAAGAGGCTGCCTGTGGACTGATGGCTGCATTAGCTTCTGGTGCCGGCAAAGGGTTTGTGGTTTCTGCTGAATTTTGAATTGGTGGATTGCTTGTTTCTGATTCACTATAAGGAACAGATTCATTTCTCTCTTCAGAGACTGAAAGGTTCTCAGTCACTACATTGTTCTGACTCGGATTTAAACTTTTGTCTTCAGACAGCAAAAGCTGCATTTCAGAACTGGAGTGATTAACTTCCTCTTTATTTGCAGGAGAAACTTGTAACTCGTCAGGACCAGAAGTACCGTTTTTCAGCAGAAAGCAATCTGATGCTACACAGGATTGAATATTTGGGACTGCTATATCTGCTGACTGACACAACGTCTCTGTTACATTCTCCACCAGAGGATTTTCAAATTTTAAGGAAGGAACCGTATCAATTTTTAAGTCACCATTATGTTGACCATTATGGTTTACATCTGCAGCTGTTGATTCACCTTTAGAAGCAGATGGTTGTGGTATGTTAATAGCATCAGTACTCACGATAGTCAATTTATCCGCACTTTGTGCCAGCTGTTCACCAAGGGCTTCCGGCTGGATATCACCTCCTGGCTCAAGCAGACAGAAACTCTGATTGATAGAACTGTTAAAAACGGAAGTTTCCTGCAAATCTGCATGCATATCTTTGATGTGAGCACGGAGTCTTACAGAACTGACAAATTTCTTCAGGCACACGGAACACACGTATACAAATGGGTGCTTTCGAACATGAAGCTCAAGGGCTTGGTATTTAGTGGCTCCATGACCACAGAGCTCACAAGCAAAGGGCCTTTCATCACCATGAACAAGCATGTGACGGTCTCGATCAAGCTCATTTTTGAATTTGCGTTCACAAATATGGCAGTTATAAAGAAGTTGTCTTTTGCCCTCTCGTGTCATCAAACGAAGCTCATCAAAAACATCCTTCACCTTTTTATCTTGAAGGTCATGCGTTTCCTTGATATGTTTGATCAGGTTTTTAACATCTGAGTATTTCTTTTTGCAGAAGCGACAATGCTGCTTAATCTTCTTATGAACTCTTTCAATATGGACTTTGAGATGGCCTTTGCTGAGACAGGTGAACGTACAATAATCGCAGCTAAACTTCTCCCCTGTATGTTTCCGCATGTGAACATTAAGGTTGGCTTTGATTGCACTGGCATAACTGCAGTATGAACACTTGTAAGGCTTTTCATTTGTATGAATCCTCAAATGTGCTTGGAGGGAGTGTTTAAATTTGAACACCTTGTTACAGTATTCACATGTAAAAATCTTCAGTTGAGTTGGACCCAACCTAGAAAAAAAACAAACTAGTTATCTTTACAATAATGAAGCTTGGTGACATAATATGTCAAAATTTCCCTAGACATTAATGATGTACAGAAATGTTTACTTTATTTTTAAAAGGTATTCGCCACAGGCTTTTTAAATTCTACAACTTATTCACAGATTATTTTCAGCTATTCATTTATTTAAAAAGCTCAGAAAATATTTCATTTTTATGAATATGGATAGGAAAGCATTTCATTCATATTTTGCATGAACACAAATACAAGTACTTCAAAATTACCTGCTTGATTTCATTGCCTGTTCATATGAGGTTTGCTGAATGGCATATTCTTGATATCCTCTTCGTTGTGACGGGTCTTGAACTGTTGCCTCTGGAATTGTAGGTTCACTTTCTTGGGGAGCAGCCTCAACAGGAACAATTTTTGTGGCTCCTAAAAGCAAGAAGTAAAAATGCTCATTAGAAATGTCCTATTAAAGCATGCATTGTCTGTAATACACAAGTGTAAACAAAACGTTAAACCCTGTAATCATTAGTTCAACTATTTTAGTATCTGTTGTTAAATTCATGTGTATAAAATGATGGATACACTTCAAGAGTACATCAGTTATTACACTTCACATTTACACCACAGATCTCCTTAAATAACATGCCAGGACTGCTGGTTCTGAGGGTTATTCATGGAGCATGATAACTAATATTATGAGATCCTACATGCAACCTTTAAGTAACTGTAACTTTCCAAAATGAAAGTTTAATTTTTCTGTTTCTGCTTCATATTACATAATTTGAAAATTTCAGCCAAGCTATTTAACCAGTTCCACAAATAAGGCCAGGGAAAAAACACTGTTTAGTCTACATTTGAAAGTCTGCACATCTTTTCCTTAAACAGATCTTCTACTGCTTATATTTTGGGGCATGCTGCAATCCCCTCAGATTAAAAGAATATGTTCCATGTGCACTTCTTAATATTAATCAGAAGGAGGAGTAAAGGGGCTCTACCGAATACAATAGGATCAGATTCTTTAGCTTTAGTTAGCTGAGGCAAAAATAAACATATTTTGAGATGTGATTGAGTTGAGATTATTTAGCTGAGTGTTATTTTCTGAACAGTGGTAGGAGAAATTCAATGCTGGGTACCCACAGTTAACATTGAAGGTAATAAAAATCTATATAAATATTTACACTGAAAAAATACCCAAACAAAACTTCATGTATATCAAATCAAGCACACACTATTGATTGATCTCCTCCTTTTAACTTATTTGTCTGTCTGTAACTCATCTACCCAAGTGTTCAGTGAGAATGCTATTATCTTCAACAGTCAAAATGATATATATTTGTATATTTATGGATTTATTCACATATATATTACAATTATATATATATATTCAAAATCTTCGTATTCTATTAACAAGTACTACAGAAAAGTCTCTGAAAAAAAAAACTTTCTGGTCTGTTAATAAAAAATCAATAGTAAATGAGGGTCCATATACTGAAAAATAAAAGAAAACAAGACATTGAATATGCATTGACAGATGAACACCCATCCATCCTAGGAAAAAAATATTACAGGATGTGTAATTAAAGCTTGTTCTATCATATAGTGGGTACAAGGAAGCAAAAGAGGTTGCACATGAAAGTATCTTTGAGTTAATAACAACTTCAGGTAAAACTGAAATTTGGTAAGTTTCACATTATTTTCTTTTTCTTGGATATCACATTAGTGTCTGACCTCATTTCAATTCACCTGATTAAAAGCTGAAGGGAAAAAAAGTATAGTACACCTTTGTTGCAGAGGAAAGAATTACAGTAAGAATCAACGAAATCAGAGACATGAGATCATAGAAAGAGCCCAGAAAGCAAAAGAGAGTCAACATACTCAACAGATTCTGACTGTTATTCATATATAAGTATAGATATATAAAATGAAACACCTGAATAGAAGGAAGTTCAAAGAATTACGTATGAGCTATTCCTTTAATAAAAGGATGAAATTAATTCTCTTTCCAAAGAGCACATTCCTGAATGTATAATTTAAAAAATATTAGTAGTATTAACAGAAAATCTCTGAAACAACAATTGTAAGAATAACAAAACTAAAGAACAGAGAGTACACAGTCCAAAGAAAACGGGCTAGTTACCAAATTACTAAATCTAGTTTCCCTACAAAAGAATGGTTAAGCCTGCAGACCAGCAAAAGTATCAAGAACAAGGCAGGTAGAGCATACAGGAAAAATCAGTTATAAGTGGGGGTTACCCAACAACTTGTGTGAAAGACTTAGGGACGTTAAGTTGAGGAAAGCAGTGCTGCAGAGACAAGATGCAAGACAAGAGAGAGAAAGATGTAGATCCTCTGGGTCCTTCAGAGTGATTTTAAGTGGGAGATTCAGATATTTTGAACAGAGGCCATTTGGAAGTATGTAAGGCTATGGAAGCTTTTTGTATCAGATGGGACATCAGCCAACACTGTAAATAAACAGGCTGTAACAGCTCTGCTGCTCACTGACCTGGATGGATGTAAAAATGGCTTTTTTTCACTACTGTTTTTTAATAATGCTTTCAGTTCTGTACTAAAGATTCTGCCAGTTGATCAGAACTATCTTTCAAATTTCCAACCTGGATGTTACCAGAACATTACCACTTCTATTCTTCCTGTCACCCCTTCTCCCAGAAATGCCAGGTTTTTCAGCAGTATTGCATACCCCAAATTGCCCTGTAGTAGCCCAGTGAGACAGGAGCTTGTCATTACAGTACAGGAGATGTGGTTCAACCAGTGGGTTCAGTACCAAGATCATAAACCAGACATTAGACACCAGACCAGTGTTCCCACAGTTCAGCATTTTAAAAACAGAAGCAATTTCCCCTTTATTTAGAACAAACCAGTTAAAAGAAAATAGAACTGCTCTACATGTATGGCTACGTCTTCCAGGCCTCCCCTTTCCTGAATGTGACACAAAGTTCCTCATTAAATACTCTGCACTGAACCTCCTCTGTGCCCTTCTGCGTTTCACGATGTTTAAGCATTTCCTGAAAAGATTGTTGAACTGTTTAATAGACTTTTGTGTTCTCAGAATAAAATCTTAATCACCTAAATTAGGTGGACTAGATAAATTCTAACTCACCAGTATTTTACATACTTGGAGTGGACAGGGTGATCCAGGTCATCCTAGCACTACAGTCTATATTCCCCATGCAGTTCACAGGCAAATACCTCTAAGAACCTACAGAGGGAGATCCAATTCTTCGAACGTACTGACAGAGTACTTGCTAACAGAAGGCAATCATGTCCCCTCAAGGTTAGGAAGTTACCTCCTTCCCATAGAAGATAGGGAAGCATTAAGAAACATCAGATGCATCCATCCACTTGAGAAGCTGCCCAAGTCTGGGGTACTAATGAACCAGCAGCCATAAACAATCACAGCTGTATCATAAACTAATGACTAAAGCATATGCCCAGAAAGTGAGAAACTTGGTTTCTAGGCTCTACCTAAGCTAGTAGGTAGTGAACCCACATGACCCACATCCCAAAAGAATATCCTCAGTATTCATGTCTTTAAAAGCAGCCACAAGCCAGGGAAAAGTGTAAGAACAAGGCAAACAGATACAAGGTCTGGTTTTCCATTAAAAATATCATATACCAATAAGGAAGATAAAAGTTTTCCTGTTTCCCTGGATGATCATTTAAAGAAGTCAAAATATACAAATACCGGGGGGGGG